AGGGCCTGAGGTCCTCCAGGGTAGGAGGGCCTTGTAAGGTGGCCAGGGACTGAGACTCAGATCTCTGGGACAGAGGCTGCCACTTCCCAGGAAGGCCACTAGCTTCCCTGGGCACCCACCTGCTGGTCCTTGCTCTGCTCATTGGTACCACGTGATCCATCTGACCCCCTTCCATGGTCAAAGAGGACATCCTGCCTGGTTCATGAGTCGCTGATGATAACTGAGACCTACTGTGCGGGATGAGGCGCCTACGTGGTGCTTTTCACTGCTGCCAGGCTGAGCACCCGAAATGCCCCTGGCCTTGTCAGCCAGGGTGTCAATCATTATCATTCCAGGTGCACTCTACCCTGCTGAGTGACGGCCACCACACAGGGATGCCATTGGCACAGCCTGGAGTCTACCCAAAATGTCCTTCCCTCGCCTGAGGTGCTCTCTGTCTCTGACTCGTGCGCCTTGACTTCCCAACACCACCCAAGTCTGCCACCATTCCCCCAGTGCCACCACCTAAGACACCACGACACCATGTCCCATAACCACAATCTTCCTGCAGCCGCACAGCCTAAGCTTCATGATGCAGCCACAGGAGCTTTTTAATTGCAAACCTAACCACGCAGTCCCCCAACTTAAGAGCCATTTTCTCAGGCTAAGACCCAAACTGACATGGCCCGGGATGCTGAGAGTGACCCCTCCTCACTTCCCAGCTCAGGTCCAGCCACCTCAGCCCTCTCGCCGTCTCCACACAACCCCAGGGCCTTTGCACACACAGCTTGCTGTTCCTAGAATTCTCTGCCTGACCCAAAACACACTGACACGCACACACATTTGCACATGTGTGCACGTACATGTTCTCTACGCAGTTAACATTTACTTATTTTAAACACTCTCACAGGCCCATGTTTCTCTCCGTCAGAGTCCTAATGCTGGGGTATAATTGCACACACTCCTTTGGATCACAGGGGACAGTGGCTGCCTATCAGGGGGAAGCTCGGGACAGTTTCAGCTCCCAGGCAGCCCCAGGGCTCTGCTCAGCAGTTGGTTCGCATCCAGGGCATGACTGAAAGACTCAGCCAAGCACCGTAGCACTGAGTATCAAGGACAGGCACTGACCATCCGACAGCCCAGTCCTGGGGTCCACCTGCAGAGCCGTGGCCGATGACACCCATTGCCCACCATCGCCATGTCCTCTTCCTGGGCAGAAAGCTAGACTCCAGCTCCCAGACTGCCTTGCAGCCAGCCTTGCCATGCCGCGGGCTCAGCCTCTGGGGCGGAGAGGAAGTGCGGTCTGTCCCTCCACAGCCTGGGCCTGGGGACCCCCACATGGGACCCAGGGGTGTGGACACTTGAAAAGTGAAAGCAGGTCTCCGTCAGCCAGTGTGGAACACGTCAGTGTCAAGTTCAAGAGGGAAAGTCGGAACATCAAACTGAACACAGGTTGTGACCTTCTCATCCCAGATAGGAATCAGCCCAAGAAGGGTCCCGAAGCCCTTCCCCGCCGGCAGCGAGTCTCAGGACTGAGTGGGGGAGTCCCGTCAGATTCTTATGCTCTTTGTGTTTCTCTGGACTTTTATGATACTTATGAATTGCTTTTGTTGTAAAAATAAAGCTCTTTTCCCTGAAATAAAAGCATCAGGGGTGCCTTGCACTCTTGCTGGGAGCAGCCCCCACCCCGTGGGCTCACATCCCAGCTCCCAGCCCCAGGGGCGCCCCAGGTCTCCGCCCACTGCCCACCTGTGAGGACGGTCATGTCCCACTGCTCCTGGCTCAGCTGAGCCGCAGGAGAAAGACAGGCCACCCTTGGTGTGTTTTCACATATTTGAAAGATTAAACTGGCCCCCTGGGCAGCAGAGAACTTGCCTGTGTTGACCACTAGCTTTTCGTACACTAGCCCAGCCCCCCAAGTGAAGGGGAAACTAGAAGCGCATAGCCCAGCGCCAGGCCCAGGAGGAGGCGGTGGGCAGGGCCAGGCTGCTGCCCTGAGGCGGGTGGGACCTGGAGCCACCTGCTCTCATCTGAGCCTGGAGCCGGCCCTTGGGAACAGGCCCTCTAGTGCACTGCCAGCTGTGTGCTGGAGACGGCTGCTCTTACAGACGCCCCACAGGTGCCAGACACCACCCAGGAGCCGTCTGCAGACAAGGGCAGCCTGGGGCACCTTCTCTGCCAGCCGGTCGGTCATACTGGAGGCAGGGCAGAGGCCCAGGACCCAGCCTCCCGAGGCCGCCTCAGCTCCTAGCTCGAGGCCCTGCAGGATCTGGGCCTCGTGGCACCTTGGTCACACTCACACTCGAGCTCCTCCAGGGGCCACCCTGGGTGGCTCCCAGCACCCCAGGACTCACGCCACTTCCTGGCCAGCCCCTCCCGGGAGACCCCAACTCCTCTCCTCCTCTGTGGGGCGCTCAGACGTCCCGCCAGGCAGACGCTTCAGCCCCAAGGCTCCTCTGTTGCCCTTGTGGGCGCGTGGCCGTGATGTAGGCCGTGATGTGGGCCGGCCATGCTGCCTGGGCACCTGTGGCCACTTTACGCTCTGAAGGGGTCCTTGCTGCTCTGCCTCTGCGGCTTATTTTTAAAAGGAGCGTCTCTTCTCTTCCTGTCCCTGAGCCTCCCTCCCCAGCCTCAGGGGAAACAGGGTCACTCTCGTCCCTCCCTCGGCAGTCGCCTGTCCTTGAGCACCCCACCAGGAACCAAGGACTCAGACCTGGGATGGCACAGGAGGTCTCAGAAATGGCTTCTCCCCAATCCACAAGCGAATCACGGCTCCAACAGAGAAGCCCTGGAAGGTGGCCTTGAGTCACCTCTAAAGCCCTGGTCTCCCTGGTGGACAGAACCACAGCTCCTGGGACAGGAGGCCCCTGGGCTTCTCCTTTGCTCAAAACCATGTCCTCGTTATTGGACTGGCACCAGGGGCAAGGACTGAGCTTTGGTGAGAACCAGGCAGTGGAGGCTGCTGTGCTGTCCTGTGCCCATCCTGCAGGTGGACACTGGAAGCTACTTGTTGCCGCGCCTTCCCCCACCTCAGATGGCAGGTCTCGGCCTTCCCCCCAGGGGTCAGCTGGGTCAATCCAGCTCAGGTGGCCTCAGCAGCCTCCTTAGCTCCGCCTGGGTACAGGCTGAGCCTGTCCAATCAGGGCATTGCACACCCTGGGTCAAACTGGAGGATTTAGGGGTGATCATATCACCCATCAAGGCCCAGGTGAGGGCTTTTCAGAGAGAGAGATGGATCTCGTCCCTGCAGACTGTGAGTCTGGGGAGTGAGGTGAAGGTCTATCTGTCCATGGAGTCAACGCAGAGGAAGCACTGTTAAGAATTAGGAAAAAAGTAATGGAGTGTTAGAAACATTTAGCCCTTGATCAAGCCATGCCTGAAGAGGCCCTTCAGTCACTCCAGCCAGTCAATTTCCTTTATGCTTAAGTCCCTTTGGGTCGGGTACTTATCAGTGACAACAAAGAAGGCCAGAATGGATGAGCCTTCTCCCAGTGCTGCAGCCACACCAGGGTCTCTGCCACCTTCCTCCTGCCACTACCCCTGTGCTGAGGGGCTTTGCACAACCTCTCGTGGGCACAGAGATTCACTCAAGGGCCATCAAAATCCACATCGAGGCCTAAGCGACGGCGACCTCAGGCCTAGGAAAGCCCGCCCTGCTTGAGGTTACTGCTGGGTCACAGCGCTGACCCCAGCTTCTCGCGGCTTCCCTGCAGGGGATGCCCTTCCCTGCACCCCCCTGTGCTCATGAAGCTCCTGCCATCCTTCAGTGTCCGACTGGCCGTCCTCCTGCACCCTGGACACGAGACAGGGTGAAGGACAGGCAGTCGGCAGCGGTGACGAATGCTGGGTTGGCCGGAGAGATGAGGCTCATCATCAGGGAGAAGGAAATGGGTCCTGACACCTCGGCACGTCCCCGCGCACCCAGGGCCAACCCCTCGGCCTCCCAACACAAGGAGCCGCTCCTGAGTGCCCCTGGGCTGCTCTGTTCCTACCTCGGGGCAGGCAGGATGGAAAGAGGAGCTGGGAGAGGAAATCAGAGACCCCGAAGGGAGAGAAGACACCCCTCCCAGACAGCAGCTGGCCCCTCCTCTCTGAGAAGTCCGCTGTCTCTGTTTGGGCTCTTTCTCAGACAAAATTTGCTTTCTGTGTCTCCTCTGGTGTTGAAGGTTAAACATGGAGAACAGGACCCGATCCTGATGGCCAAGATCAGTACCAGCATGACCTCCCAGGCGCCAACCCCAGCCACCTGGCTCCCGCCAGACCCCATCTGTCCCATCTCAGAACTCAGCCCTTGGTCCACCTGCCTGGTCTCGGCCAGGCCAGCCCTCATGGCCTCCGCCCAGCCAGCCTTCCTGGCCTGGGTCCTGCTGGCCTCTGGCTGTGGGCTCGTCCCCTGCTCCCTCTCCCGGCAGCAGGTGAATCACTGTGGCAGGACGCTGGGCAGGGTGAGGGCTGGCCACACGCATACCGTGCCTCACTTGTCCCCACCCTGGGCACAGCCAGCCCATGGCCTTTCTTCCCAGGAGCCCCAAGACTCCTGGCCCCAGGGAAAGAGGCCATCAAAGGCAGCAACACAGTCCCAGGGGGTGGGGACGAAACCCACCAGCTGACCTCACACTGCAAGACAGGTGCTTTGGGTGCTTTGGGCCCTGGTGCATAGTAGGCCTGCAACAGACTTTGTTTTCAGTCAACAAATATCGTCCGGCTCTACTCTGAGTGATGTTCTGTTGGAATCACGAGACAGACACTAGCTCTCCACGGACAAGCTTCCCCTTTCCCGGCCGCGCGGATGTGGTCAAGGGAGAAGCCGAGAAGCCGGGCCTCCGGGAGCCCGCCCTGCCCATCCACACCCTGTGGCCCCCCAGCAAAGGCCCCCCTGCTGGGCCCGCAACCAGGTTCTTGAGACTTGGAAGCCACGTGGGCCCTTGACTCTGAGCCCTGCGCCATCCCCCGGTGGCCCCCTGGCTGATGAGTTTGACCCTGTGTCAGAGACCCACGTGGCAGAGACGGTCCCTCCTTACCTCCAGTCTCGTCCGGTCCACGTCTTTGGGTAGCTTCACGCGGATTCGGTTGGTGACGATGAGCGCGTCATATGGGTAGACCTGTGGGGAAGCCAGGGCTCGCAGGAGGCCCGGGAGCGCTGGGCCTCGCCCACCAGAGGACAGAGCCAGGCACACACTTGCGACAGCTCCGGACACAGACACTCATAGGAAAAGCAAGGAAAGATGGTTTAACCTGGGCAGCGGCTGGGCAGGTGCGGGCGGCGGCGGCCTCTTACCTTGTACTCTGTAAGACAAGAGCGAGATCACAGGGCCCTTTAGGGAGCACGGAAGGCGGCCAGGAGCAGAAGCTTCCCGTCCTGGGGACCCTGGCCACCTGCAGTCAGCCCGGCCATGCACGGTCTCCTGGTCCCCTGAGCAGCCTGCGCAGGTCTATCTGGGGCAGTGGACGGGGCTCTGAGGTCTCCCATGCAAGACAGAGCAGGAGGCATGGCCAGGAGGCTGGAGGACAGACTGGAAGCTGGGCGGCGGCACTGGCTCTCGGCTGCGACGCCGTCTCCCCTGGTGGTGGGCCACCCTGAGACCTGCCTCAGTTTACCCTCGCGTGCAGTGGGCGCTCCAAGGCTACCTTCTGGGAGGGCTGTGGAGACGGACGCCCCTGCGGCTGACCCTCCCCTGCTCCTTCCCTGTTGAGTCTTCCTTCTCTGTTTTAAACCATGGAGCTCCACCACAGACGTGAAAAGGTTTCCCTTCCAACTAAGAGCGTCTTAGTAAAATCGAAACCTCCAGAGAGCAGGGCCTCCATGCACACGGGACCTCAGAAGCCAGGGTCAGTCTGACCCGCCCAACAACAGCTGTGAGGGGCCGGTCCTCAAGGTCCCCTCATGCTAGGGGTGTCCCGATGTGCCAGCTCTGAGGCCTGGGGATGTGGACGACCACCCAGAGGAGCAGGCTGCAACACCCTGACGCCGTCACCCTCGTGCAAACCAGCAAGGCTCCAGCAGTCCAGGGGTGACGAGGAGGGGAGCTGGCTGGCACGGGACCCGCTTGGAGCTGGGAGAGCGGCCTGTGGTGCAGCCCTGCCATGTGAGCAGGTGGCCACTCCAGGAATGCCAGCCCCCAGTCACCCTCCTGGCTTGGAGCCCAGCGTGTCACAGGCATGCCAGTGGCCGCACGGGGAGACAGGGTGCTCTGTTGCGCCCGGGCCCTAGAAGCTGTTTGCCTGAGGCTCTGCTGCCCCGAGTGAGGCAGAGCACCCAGCACACCAGGACAGGCCCCTGCACCCCGACGGGAGATGGGAGCACCTCGGGCAGAGGATGGCCTGGAGGTCAGCTGACTCTCCCCCTGGGGGCCCTGTCTGCGGTGCCCGGGGCCTTCTGCCAGCAGGCCCCGGAGGCGGCCTCAGGATGAGATGGTGGAAATGTGTCAGCGACCCCCGGCCCAGTCAGAGACCCACAGGGTCCCCGCTGCGTGTACCTCGCGTGCCCCAGCTGGCATCCGGGTCTGCTCCACAAGGGGCCACATTGGCATTCTGGAAAAGAAAGAGAGAGAGGGCGGCAAGAGATGGGCTGCAGGCAGCCGCGGGGCCTGGAGATGCTCCTCCTCGCAGGCCTCGAGAGGGGGCATCCGGGCAGCGATCGGCTGAGATGACGGACAGACGCGAGGCCCAGCTCGGGAAGCCGTGTCCGGGGCTCCCATCCTCGCCTCGGAGGCTGCCAACCTGCCTTTAAAGATGACCCCAGGGGCCTGGGGGCCTGCTCTGGAGCGGGCCTGGGTGGCTCAGCACTGCTCCCCCAGCTCACCTGTGCAGGCACCTGTGACGCCTCTGCCACCCCTCACCACAGGCTCACACGCCCTGTGCCCACTGCTCTGGTGGACCTAGGATCCACACATGCCCCCTGACCCCTACAAGACCACCACAGGGGAGCACTGGCCAGCGCCTCCTGCTCTCCCCCTAGAGGCCCTGGCTCCCAGCCACAGCGCTCCAGGCACCTGTGTGCCTGTTAAAGTCCACCTGCCCCAAGGCTCCGGGACAAGAGGGGCCTCGTCTCCTCTCTGGAACCCAGGCTCCAGCAGGTCTGCGGGTGACCGTTGAGGATTGAAGGAGCCCAGGTGCAGAAGTCCCTGGCACAGGGCCTGAGTTGTCATGAGCACTCTTTACGGAGGGACTGAGTCTGAGAGGGCATGGAGCTGAGAGCCCCTGGCCGCCTGCTCAGGCGCCTCGGTCATTTGCCCGTGGCCTGCCGCTGCAGACTCTGCCATGTTAGAGCATCGTGGCCATTTGTGTCTGGAATTCTCTTTCCCTTCTGCCCACTGGAAAAATCACTGGCACAACCTGTGAATGCAGGGCCCCCACAGGGGCTGGTCCAGCCCTCTCCTGTCCGCCTCCTGCACTCTGCCTGGCATCTGGGTTAGAGTGACACTCAGATGGCCCGAGGACCTGCTGCCCTCAGCAGCTGAGCCCTGAAGTGTCTTATTCATGCCCTGGTCCCCAGCACCTGGACCAGGGTCTCAAATAAGGTCAAAACCATTGGCCACTGCCCCTGAGGCTGGGCCCAGGGACTATGTTTCTGGAGTCCTGCTGTCCAGGGGCTCATGGGCTTGGCCCAGCGGGTACTCTCACAGGGAAAATTGCCTTCAGCAATAAGCAGGAGCTGGTTACAGCCCTAGGGAGTGCCGGAGCGGAAAAAGACCCCAGTCCAAAGCTCTCCATATGAAACAGGGAAACTGAGGCCCAGAGAGAAGCTGGGAACTCCCCCGCCGCAGAGCGGGACCCAGCCTCCAGGACGGGCTGGGCGCATGAGTGGGGCCGGAACTGGCCTTTACTCAAATTTTTGGTATTTTGTTCACCACGGACTTAATGCATGGGTTTGTGTTTCTAAAGATATTGCTTTAAAAGATGCGGCATCTCTTGGAGGTGCCTCCCTCGCCCCATCGTCCTAGTCCCCAGTCCCGGGCCAGGGTCCTCACCCCATCCGGGAACTCTCCACCACTTTCTCGCAGGCCTGTCCAAAAAGTTTTCTTAGACATTTTTGCAATCTCACTCAGATCAGTGCCCTAGGTGCGCCTCTCCTGCCAGGGAGCCTCCCGAGAGGCATAAAGCAAGGTGGACCTGGCTCTGCCCGCCTCTGCCCACCTCTGCTCGCCCGGCCCAACGAATGTGAAGGAGAATTGCTGCCACCTAGTGTCCGTCTCCCCACATCACAGTTGTCGGGAGGCCCAGGCTATCACTTCCTTGCCGCAGAAACAGCTTGCAGGAAAGGACCTCAGGAGGGAGGTGGGCATTGTCAGGTGGAGGAGCGGTCCCAGGGTGGTCCAGGGCAGGGCAAATGGAGCCTACTCCTGGTCTTCTAAGTGCAGGGGACAGCTCTGGAGGTGCTGGGGATTTTAAAGACAGCACATTATCTGTCCCTTTCATGGCTTGGCACTTACTATGATGGCTGCTCTACAGACCCAGTCTCTAATCTTGCTGAAAGTCCAGGAGGTGAGCATTACCACCACCATGAGGCCCAGAGATGTTAAACAACTTGCCAGATCACAAAGCAAGTATACAGAAGGGAAGAAACTTGAACCCAGGTGTCTTACTTTTCAAAACTCACACCAGGATTGCTAACAGGATGCCACGTGGCCACCCGACTACCAGTCTTTTCTCACTAAGCTCATGTGGGAATGTGCCACCCCACTCAGCAAACACTGAGGGAAAGAGGGCTGGGGACTTGCTTTGAAGTGTTACGGGGCTTCTGAAGAGACTCACCACTCGGATGCTATTTGTCCTCATCGTAATGTTAGAGGCAAGGACTTTTTCTTTTCTAGATTCTAGGAAATGACTCAGAAGATTTTTAGTAACTTGCTGAAAGACAGAGCTGGCACCGGACTCGGGGCCTCCAACTCCCAGGCACGGGTTCTTTCCAGGACTGCAGTTTGTTATATTAATTTGTTAAGATTTTGTTTGGATCCAAGTAGACAAATAAGTGGAAACCAGATTAAAACGACACTTCCCGTGAACCAATTAGATTAGACTTACTATTTTGGCTCCTTAATTGCTATCTACTTTATTGTTATTTTTTGATTATTAAGTCCACATCTTATTTCAGTAGAGCCACTTCCGATCCCTACCACCCTGGCACCTGCTCCGGGTCTGGATTGCCAGGCTGCCGGGTGCGTCTAGGCCGAGGAATGCTCTCACGGCTTCCTTGGATAGGCCTGATCAGGAGTCGGTGTCTCCTTTTTACACCACCAACTCCATGAACTTGTTTAACCTCAACCTCCTTATCTGAGACTGATACGATGTCAACATCTTCCCCCTGTTTTCAGATATTTTAGCATCTCTTTCTTACCCTTTCACTTTTAATTGTTTAAAAATAATTCTTAAGTGTGCATTTTGTAGTGACACACGACGACAATGCTATTTTCTGGATCCAACTTGACAGCTTTTGTCTTTTAATAAAGGGATTCCTCCTGTTACCATTTAGCAAAATGGAACCACTTTCAGGGAGCCACCAAAAGGTCCTACGGGGGGCCAGTGACCATTCTCCTAACCCCTGACTGGGTGGTGTGCATCTGAGTCACCCTGCCTCACCCACAGGGAGACCTGCAGCGGTGGCTGTCACTGTCTACTCCGTGGGTGGGTGGTGAGCATTCCCTGCTGGGCAGGCTTGGCTGTGGGGCCATCTGACCTTGGAGACACAGGGTACTTTGGACGACTGGGGCCTTGTCACAAAGTCCTTTTGGAGCAAGACCTAGGGAGACCTTTGCCCCTTGAACTTTTTTCTTTTCTTCCATCAGACTCCACAACTGGTCAAGGCCACGTTGAGTCTGTGCCTCGAAGCAGGGAGGCTCAGAGCTCAGCCCTGACGGCTGTCCTCACACAGTGGCCTTTCTCCTCCAGTCTCCCTCCTGCCTCAGCCTCCCGTGACCGGGGTTACAGAGGTGCACCACCACTCTGGATTCTCCTGTGATCTGGTGTTAACGGGACTTTGGTCTGACTGCACTTGTACTTTTAATTAGGCCCCTGCGAGTTCTTTCTGGATGAAAAACAAACCAAGGAACCACTAACAGTGACTCTGGGGCACCGCAGGCCATCAGCAAAGAAGCATGGACAAGCACTGGGTGGGAAGCCCAGGGCCAAAGGCCGGAGTCCAGTGCTGGGCCTGGCTGCAGGGTAAAGGCTGGTCATTAGGTCGCGTAGCTGGCCTTCCCGCTGAGAAGTAGGCAAAAAAACCACACAAGGTCTTAGAAAGAGTAAAAAACATTGAAAAGATCGTTAGGAGGGAAAATAGGCGCCCAGAACCAAGCTGCCAGCGTGGCCACCCACCTTCCCGCAGCCACACGAAGGCTGAGAATCAAGTGAGGGCCAGCCCTGGGCCAGCAGGCCTTCCCCACTGGTGGGCAGAGGACAGGACTTGGTCAAAGTTGGCTCTTAATCCTGCTTCCCTTGTTCTGGGAGGGATGGACCCTGCCCTGCCAGAACATCGGGCCAGCTGTTCTCTGCCCAGGAGGTGGCACTGGAGACCCGGACCTCTGTGGCCACAGGGCACCCAGCACCTTCGCCATGTGAACCGAGGGCCTGTCCTGAGGACAGCAGGTGGGGGACAGGCGCCCTCCCTCGATTCCTCCCACACCTGACCTGGGTGGGGACACTTGTCTTGGTTTTGGGGTGCACACTGTGCCCACGGCCCCGGGTCAGAGAACGGCTGTTCCAGGTGAGAAGAGAACGTGCCAGACGGTTCTCCCGCCCAGGCTTTCCGTGACGGGTGCGATAGGAGGCCTGGGCACGGAGCCCTTGGCCCTGCTTTCCCTGTGGAGGACGAAGGGGAGCGACTGCTTCTCACACGCTGCACGTGCGGTCCTGCCATTCTCAACGGGAGGAGCGGTTAGTGGGGGGGGGTGCTAGAATCCACCGTGCAGGGGCGCCCGGGCCTGGGTCCGGAGCTGGGCCTCGGGACAGACACAGCGGCTCTCCTGACACCTGAGGAAGCAAAGGCCCAGGGACCCCCTGGCTCCTGGAGGTGGCGTCCCTGCTCCTAGGAGTGTCCTGGAGCCCTGACCCTGAGGAAGGAGTAGGACAGGTGTCCCTGGCTACCCTGGCCACGTCTGCTCCCAGGCACAAACAGGGCCCTGGGTTTTTAGTGGCCTCTCTGTTCATTTATAGAAGAACTTCTCCAAGCTGGGAAGAGGCCTCCTCGGGGATGTCTCCTGGGGCTGTGTGTCCATGCACCATCAGCACCCCACCCCGTGATTCTCTGGAGGACTCGTGGGGCTGTGGGAAGAGTGTCAGAAATGAGCTGCTCGTCATGAGGCTGACTGAGCCAGGGCGCCAGGCTCAGTACCAGCTGTGAGCACCCAGATGCCCGGGTTTCCAGAGCCCCGGGAGCAGGAGCCGGCACTCCCTGGCAAAAGAACGCTGAGCAGCACAGTGACCAACCTCTGCATTCCAAACAGTGGCACGGGGCCGAGGGGCGATGGGTAATGACCATGCGATGGTAATGAGGGTGGCAGCCAATGGCATCCCAGCCCAGGACGTGGTGCTGGGCTCCCGGGGCTCATGAGCTACAGCAGCCTTCCTGGGCTCCGCTCAGAGGAAGAAGTAGGCCCTGGGGGGCTTCTTGCATCAGGGCCTGGTCACCCTGGGTAGTCCCCATCCCCTGGTCCGCCCACTGCGGTCTTCCTGAGGACAGGGACAGAGCAGTGGGGAGCCATGGAGCCGCAGCCTGTTCTGTTCCTAGTGTGGGAAAAGCGGGGAGGCAGCGGCCCACAGCGGGGCATCAGGCAGAGGCGGGCGGCGAGCAGGGCCAGGCCGCTCCTCCTGGCTGTGGTCAAGAAGCTGTGTCGGGGTGGGCAGCAATGGCAGGTTAGTACCCGGCGGGCCAGGAGGGGTCAGTACCTACCCGACGGTCCAGGCCATTCGTCCCATGTCTTGGGAGGGAGTCGGATTTGGAATAGGGGAACCCTGAAACAGACACAGCACAGCCCCGTCACATGCGCACCCCACGGGCTGTGGGGGCACGGACAGGGCAGTCTTCCAACAGGGTCAGGCAGGGCGGGGGGTGGCAGCACGCAGGAGGCCCTCTGAGGATCCCTCCCTCCTTAGTTTTGGCCTCCTGTCCCCAGGGCGTGGACTGGGGAAGAAGCAGAGCAGCTGATGTCCCAAGCCTGCCCCTGAGACCAGGAACACACCTGGCCCCTGTGCTCACGCCATAGGGGTCCAGCATCACCTGTCCCCCAGGCTGGCCCTGACCCGACAGGGCCCAGGCTGTGCCGATCTGAGCCCGCGTCAAATGGGGCCTGGAGACAATGTTATTAAGTGTTTATGGTGGGGGTTCCCATGAAATTTCAAAATGCCTGCTTCTCTGGAAATAAAAAGGTTGATTTGAGACCCTGGGGCTTTGTCCCTCCTGTGGGGCAACACTTGCTATGCCACTGGGGACTGAGCCTGCGGGGACCCAGGAGATTGAGGGCCCCAGTTCACCTCCTCGATGCTTTTGGTGGGGGCAGAGGGAGCTCTGTCAGGAGGACCACCTGGCTCGGGGGCAGGGGCATGTTCTGGATGGAGGGAACTTGGCAGAGCTTGCCCCAGCAGGGCAGGCACCCACACCAGCAAGCGCTCTTAGGAGGCCTGTCCCTCAACTGTCTGTCCTTCCACCTCCCCATGGGCCCTGAGGGAGCAGTGCCAGAGCTGCCTGACCTGCGCATGCCCACCCCGGCAGTGGCCCAGCCTCGGGCAGTGTAGACCAACCTCCCCCACAGGATAGAGGTCAAGCTCACTCATGGAGCTACGGGCAACCTGTGAGGGCCCCGAGGGGAGGGCAGGTCACGTGCCTCAGGGTCCAGATGGCCGTGTGTGCAGGGAGGACGGAGGACCGTGGGGCCGTGCAGACCCTCCTGCCCACTCACCCGCTCTGAGCCCGAGGCCCTGCGGCTGGATGCTCACTGCATCTGGACAGTGCCCAGCACCCAGCTGCCGCCTTCAGGACTTGACACGCTGTCACTCAGTGTGGGGACCCGACTGCCATCAAGGCCACTTTACGCCACCGGCGGCCCAACTACAGAGGCCGGAGATGATCCTCCTACCACCGAATCAGACGGCCTTCAGCTTTGCTTTCACCACTGAATATGATTCAAGAAACTCAGACGCGAAGCGCCGTCTCCTGCGCGTGCCCCGTCTTCACCTCTCCCGACGCTCCCCGGGTCTAACTCCTGGCCTTGCTGGCTACGGCTGCCTGCAGGCTCGAGAACCTGTCGGCCACTCTGGAAGGTCTGCTAGGGACATGATTTCTTGGTTCTCTATCGTCTGAGAGTTTATTTCCCATTCAAACCAAGGCATGTTTCCATTGACCGCAGAATTTGCGCGGCAGCTCCTTCTCCAGCATACGAACCACGTGCCTCTCCCTCCGGGTCTCGAGGTCTCTGAGGAGCACCCACTGTCACTCGGCTGGGTGCGCTGCTACAAGTGATCATCTTTTCTCACCGGGCACTTGAAGACTTTTCTCTTCTTGCCCTTGATTTTCAGAAGTTTGATCATAGTGCGTCTTAGTGTGGAGGTCTTGGCTTCTCCTTTTGGGTGTTCAGTTTCTTGAAGCTGTAGGTTTATCTCTTTTGCCAAGTTTGGTAAGTTTTCACCCAGTGTTTCTCTGAATGCTTTTTCAAGCCCGTTTTCTCCTCTGGGAATCCAGCGGCTGGCTGTGGCTCCCTCTGCCTGAAGCCCTGGGGTTCTCCTCTCTCTCTTTTGTTCAGACCAGATGATTGACGTCGCTGCTGCCAGGTCCTGAGTCTCTCCTCTGTTGGACTCAGGTGTCCTGCTCCTGAAGCCGTCAGTGGATTGTTTCTCTTGTTTATCTTACTCCTCAGTTCGATACCTTCTGTTCTATTTTTTTTAATGACTTCTATTTCTTTGGTGAGATTTTTTTCAGTTGTTTCAAAACTATTTATCGTTGCTTGCTGAAGCATTCTTTAAAATAGATGTCTTAAAATCCTCGTCCAATAATTCCAATGTCCGGTTCTTCTTAGTGTCACTATCTGTCAATTGTCCTATCTTGCTGCTGTGGTTAACTTATGACTCTCAATGTGATGAGTGAATGTTTTTATTAAATCCTAGGCATTTTGGATATTATGTTAGGAGACCGGACCTTATTTAAGTTTTCCATTTTAGCACCTGTCAATCTGTCCAGGTTCAGTCTGTAGAGCCTGGTCTTTTAGGGGCTATGGTTCCAATGACAACTTAGGTTTCAGAATGCCTCACAGAGCCAGTCTGTCTGCTGCCCCCACCTGGTTGGTGTGCCTGTTGCTCCTGCCCAATCCCTGCCGGTGCCCCCCCCCCCGGGGGGGTCCGGTGTGCTACCTGGGGTTACCTTGTGAGGGCAGGAAGGGCAGGAGACCCTGGCCGTGGAGAAGGCCATACCCAGGGCCTGTTCTTCATCTGGTCTCCTCCTTGGTGTCTGTCAGTGCTGCTAGGGGAGGGGACACCTTGGTCACTGGCCCCTGGATGGGAAGGCACCTTCCTCTTCCTGTCCTGTGGTTGACTCTACCTTATTCCTGGGTCCCTTCAGTTACTGGGGACAAGGAAGGGTCCCTGTGAACTCATCAATTAAATCTGGTCTCTTTGAGAGGGACAAGTCATTGGTTGATTTCAAGGTCCCAGGGTCCATGTGTGGCCAGGGCTGAGAGCCATTCATTTGAAAAGCCTCTTCATACATCCAGCTACTTCATTCAACTCTCACTGGCCTGCACATGGAATAGGAGCCCATTTTACATATGAGGAAGCTGAGGCCCAGTGGGATTGAGGGGCCTGTACCTGGCCAAACAGCTTTTAGCTAGAGAGGGCCCTGGGCTTTGGGAACCTCGTCTGCCCCCAGGTCTGCCTGGTGGGTTTGCAGTCATGTGGTCATCTAGGGACCCGCATGTCCACTTAAATTACCAGCCTTCAAGAGCGTGTGGCCGTGTGTAGCACTCAAGAGAGAAACCCACAGGGAGAAGCAGATAGGGAGGACATGGGTGGTCAGGACCCTGGCTCACACCAGGCCTTGCAAGCCCTGGACACCCAAGTCCCGGCTTAGCCCAAACATGCCGTCTGTGCCTCCTCTCAGAGGCAGCGCGTGGCTATCCTGCCCTGGCACCCCACGGGGCTGCTTCTGGGGCCCTAAACTCCTTCTCTTGGCTCTGTCTTCTTCTATAGCAGCTTGTCAGAGGCCAGAGTAGCCATGGACATTCAGGAAAAAGGCCCTTGTGGGTGGGTGGGTGTTCCAGACGTAGCAGGAGACACGTGGTCACCACAGCATCCCAGGGTGCTCTGGACAGCAGGTCACTCCCAGGCAGATGGCCCTGGGTTCACTGGCCTGAGGTGACTTTGCAGCAGGGTGGCCTGTGCCAGCATCCCCACTGCCGCCCTTGGTCTCTGAGCCACAGGGAGCTACAGGCTCTTGCCCAGTCTGAGCTTCGGGCTTTGGAAGAAGTCAGATGTCCCCCACTGGCTGCTGAAGGATTGCTGAGACCTGGCTGTGGACTGCGTGTGCCCCACCTGGCTGTCCCCTAACAGCCAGGCCAGAGGATGTCCTGTGCCTCGCCCCAGGGTCTCCCTGCCAGGAGGACAGGATCATCCTGGTTTTCACAGATGAGGGAATTTCAAACTCAGAGAAGCTTATTTTTGTACCCATGGTTACACAGCGAGTGACAAGCTGAGATTCAACCCTGGGGACCAGCACCCAAAAGCAGTGCTCTCTGCAGACCTTCGCACGGTCTCCTGGACACATGGCTCCGAATTCTTGGTGCCTCTCCTGTGCCTGCCCACCAGAAGCCTGGAGCGCTGTCCGGAGACTCTTCTCCATGGAGACTTGGGGTGACACCCCGTCACCTCCCGTGAGCTCCGTGGGTGGGTGCTGTAGTGCGGGCCCCGTCTCCCAAGGCCTGCGGGGCTCCCTGGAGCACCCTCCCTTCACAGCAGCGGTGTTTCTCCTGCAGCCGGGCTTCCCATTCATGGGTAGGGATCTCCAGACCCCAGTTGGGGAAGACAAAGGACCTGAGTGTGTGGTGACCCTCCAAGGGCTGTACGGCGACATCTGGATGGGCACGTGCACTGCCTATCGCCCATGCGGTCCTATCCTGGGCACAGGGAGGCAGGGGGTCTGCTAAATAAAAGCAGAGTCTCCAGCTGACCCCAGCGAAGGGAGACGGGCTGCCCCCTGGGCTCCCAAGCCCTGCCCGCGCTGTCCCAGGAGGCTCCCCTGGGGTGTCTCTGTCCCCAGACCCAGACTCCTCTCCTGGGCGGGGTCTGTCCTGACAGATGGAGCTTCCACCACTCTCCCTGGAACCCCGAGACGGGCAGGGGCCAGAGGTTACCCTGTCCACTCAGGCTGGCCGTTCCCTTGCTGACAGTGTCCACACCACAGAACCTCCACCTGCCTGCTGGACACCAGGGCAGCCGAACCCGCGCTGCCAGCTCCCCAGCCTCTCTGTCTTTCCCTGCAAAGAGTGCCATGGCTGCCCGTCCCGGCCTTCTCTCTGTGGCTGCCCATGCCGTGCTCATCCTCTGCTCCTCCTCCTGACCCTCGTCCCCTCCCCACGATGCGCCAGGCCATTCCCACTTGCTGGCTCGCCCCTTCCCCAGCACTTGCAGAGATGGCACATGGAAGAAGCTGGCAAGGAATGAGCTGGGAGTTGGGTGGGGACGGAGAGCCCCAGCTTCGGGGCTAAGTGACCAGCTCAGGACAGACCACATGGGTGTCCCTGCAGGCTGTGGCACTCTCTGCATCTCAGGTTCCAGCCCACTGGGAACTGACGGTCCTTGGCGTCTGCCTCCGGCCCAGGGCACCCCCAAGAGCCAAGCCTGTGCCCCCAACTTCTGGTCGTGTCAGGTTTCCCAAGGGACTGTGAATAAGTTGACCTTTCCCTCTGCATCTCTGAGTAAGGCAGCTCCGCCCCCCTGAGCCGAGCCACCTGGACACCCAGCTCCTCCTCGCTGTGCCTGTGCCCATAAGTCCCGCTCATCTCCCTGGTCAAGGCTGCTGCTGCTCATCTGGGGCCACAGTCACCCTCCAGCCCGCCTTCTGTGGAGCTGCCTGTCCGGCATATTGGACACTAGAGATGGACGCCCGTTTCCCGCTCACACCTGCAGTGACAGCAGCCTGCTCCCCGGCCCCCACCCGAGGCCTTCCTCGGTTCCTCACAGCTGCCTGGCGCCAGCCTCTGGCCTAGCCCCGAGCCTGGACGCTGACTACTGCCTCCTGTTACCCCCTGCCAGAGACAGACCTGCTAGGACAAGTGTCAGGTCGCCTGCAAACCCTGCTCTGAACCCTCTAGAACCTTTTGACAAGGGGCTAATGACCTGGCCACACGGCTGAGCTGGCCGTTCCACCGCCAGACCTGCTTCTGCTCTTTCCCCAGCCCTCGGGCCGTCCAGGGCTGCCCTCGCCCTCCAGAGACGGCCCCTTCCACGACACCTCCGCATCCCAGCCACACTCCCCCAGCACTGCCAGGCTCCCGGCTCACAGGGTAGCCTCGGGTTAGGCTCCAGCCCCTCTGTGACCCAGCTCCCGGGACAGGCAATCTGGCCTGTTTGGGCCTCTGCTCTGTCCTCTGGTCGCAGGACGACCTGGAACACAGACAGTGCTCATGAAGGGCCACCTGCGTCCCCTCTCTGGGCCCACTTTGCCTGCCGTAGGATGAGGAAGCCGTGCCGAGGCTCTTCCAGGTCTGGGATGTGCACATCCCACCCCACGAGGCGGCCGGAGCCCCCACCAGGAGCGGGGCCCACCTGAGATCCACGGGTGGCCCATCAGGGGTCTGTTCCTCCCAAGCACAGACTAAGTAGGAGTGTCCCCTGCAGGGAACTTGCAGGACTCTGGAGGGGAAAGTGGAGCGTCCCTCTCACCACCCCTGCTGGCCAGGAGGGAAGGCCCGGGGCCAGGGTCCTGAAGCCCCCTGGTGGCCACGGGAGGTAATGAGCAATGGCAAGCAGGCTCAATCAGACAAGGGCCTCACAGGGGCCTCACAGTGGAGGGGACACACAGGGTGGCATGGAGGCCAAAGCCACAGCAGGTCTGGGGGAATGCCCAGGCTGCGTCTCCCTGCGGGCCTCGGCCACTGTCCCCAGCCTCCAGGTCTCTAGCTCTAACCTGCCCGACCTTCCTCTCGAGGAGGCGTGGGGAAGGGGCTATGCCCTCTGGAGCGTCAGGCCCTTCAGGGATGAAGCCCTTGGGGCAGGGTGTGCAGCCAGCCAGGGTTGGTGGCCCCCTGATACCTCCAGTCACTGTGTGTGTGTGCATGTGTGCAGAGTGACCTCAGAGGAGTGGGCAGGGCCTGAAAGGTCCGGCTCGAGGGACCTGGAGCAGGAGCAGATCAGGCCAGGCCAGGGTCCAGGACCTCGTGCTCCTGCCCGGGGCAGTGGGCCTTCCCCTGTGAAAGCCCCTTCAAGCCAGCTTCTTACAACAAAAGGGAGCCCTGGCCCTTCCTGTGCAGAATGTAGGGCCTCTACTAATACAGACTGGGGCACATGGCCAGGTGAGCCAGCACCCGCGCACTACGGAAGGACAGAGGTGGCCCACGGTAAGCCCTGTGGCACAGGGTCGCCACACTGGCTTGTCATCCACTGTTGCTCTGTGCTGTCTAGCACCATGACCTGCACATAGTAGGTGCTCAATAAATCCCAGCTGGCGGGATGGATGAAGGGCTGAAATGAATCCAGTTTCGTGGCATGTCTGATGGTGTCATGGGTGAGATGAGGCTGTGACCAGGCCTGTGGGCCAGGAGGCACCTGGGGGGCGGGCGGCAGAGAGACACACCAGCACTGCTCCTGCCACCTGCCTCTCCCAGTCCCTGCACGCTGCTCTGGACCAGGGGCTGCTCTCCTCTTCTCTGTCTCCCCCTCGGCGCCCTGCTCAGCGTCTGGCACAGAGTGGGTGCTCAATAAATACCCGTTGAATTTAATGCATCTCAATTCAACCAACATTTATTGAGCGCCCACTGTGTTGAGTGTCACACTCCTGCCTTCCTTGGCGCACTACAGATGGGCATCCTGGGGTGCAGGCGGGTGGGCCCTGCCGTGTGCCATTGCTCTGCTCGGATGGATCCGCCTTGGTGAGAGCCACAAAATGCCCAAAGAGAAAGTGGGCGCTGCTCCCCTTCCCACCCCAGCTGCTCACCCGCCCCAGACCTGCCCGGCTTGGTCTGCGCACGCTGGGAAGGGAGGCAACATCCTCAGGACAGAGGCGCAGGCGCAGTCGTAATGCAGGACACGGTGGGTCTCCGCACAGGCCGCTGTCGGGAGTCCAGCAGGAGCGAAAGGCCGCTCACAGTGGTGACCGCAGCACACGGCAAGGGCAGCAAGGCCGGGGCTCATGCGGGGCTCACGCTGTGGAGGGGCCTCCCGCTTAAACCATGGCCCCACACTGGAGCTGGTGCCCCCAGGTCGGGTGCACCCGCGTGGAAGCCATTGCTGTCCCAGCTGTGGCCACACGTGCAGCTTGAGGTGGGGACACAACAGCAGAGCTGACAGATGAGACTTGGGGTCCAAATGGCGAAGCAAGACACCTGCCACAGCCTGGCCTCGCGGGGACCAGCACCCGCCAGGCTCCTGTGCCTCTGCGGCCCCGGGAGCCCTTGTTCTGGCGTTTGCAAGTGAGGAAGGGGTGCAGCCCGCGTGCAGGCGCCACGGCAGGGCCGCGGCAGGGGGGCCCACAGGACCCCATCTCCAGCTCGGCGTTTTCCCCGCATGGAGCCACCTCCTTCCTGGGTCCTGGACACAGGAAGGCCACACACTCCAGAGGGAGCTGCTGAGGCCACAGGTGCCCCTGCGCCCCGTGAGTCTGGGGGAGGTCACGGGCAGGGGACCAGGAGGACGGCAGTGGCCTCCTGCACTAGCAGGGACGCGGCCAGGAGCTGGGAGGTCCCCATCCCTGATTCCTGGTTCCAGGGCTCAGGCCTTGATGCCAGGCCACACCCGAGGCAGGAGGGTGGCCCTCCACCTCCAAACCAGCCCAGGACAGAGCACTGTCACCAGGCATGGCTCTGGGCCACACCACCCGGGCAGCGGCCCCTGGGGGTGCAGGGAGAACTGGAGGACTGGTGGGCAGCTACCTGCAGGGGGCACAGGCAGGGAAGGAGGGACCAGCGCCCCGGCCTGCCACGTCCCTGCAAGACCCCCAGGAGTCCCTCCCTGCAGGAGATGTCTTGGTGCCGTCCCATGCTGACGTCAGCCTTGTGCCCCTGCTGAGACCCCACTAGGAGAGGGCTGCACCCCAGGAGGGATGGGTGCCCTGGGGGGTCCAGACACCTAATCACAGAGATCCCACACGGAGCAGAACCTCTCTCCCTCCCGGGGATTCTCTGACGCACCAGCAGTTCCAGGCGTCTGCACGGCCTGGCCGCCCTGCACCAGGGCGCTTTCCTGAGGATGGCGCACTTTATACCAAAGGCGAGGTGAGGATGAGGTGAGGGTGGTGACCAGGATGATGCCGCTGTTTACTGAGCACCGACTACCCGCCAGGCAGGGCGCTGCCTGAGCACCCAGTTCACCTTCCCCAAGACCCACGAGGCAGTGGGCGGAGCTTGTCCACACCACAGTTGCCCACCCTGGGGCTGGGTTTGCGCGAAGGTCCGTCTCACTGTGAAGCCTGGCCTTCCTCTGCCTTTCACACCCACGTCCCCTGACCCAGCCTCCTCATCCAACCTCGGCCCTAGCTTCCCCACTGAAACCCCTTCCCGGCTTAGAGGCTGCTGACCGCGGCCCACTGCAGTCTTTCACCTGTGGTCTCAGCACACTGCAGCGAGCACGGCTGGGACAATTTGAAATTTGAACATTTGAAGATCACTCCTGATTCAGTCTTTGTGACACCCCAGAGTCCAGCACATGACAGCTTTGTCTGCTGTGAAGTCTGAGGCTCTAATGCCTGGGACTCTCCAGTGCCTTGCTCAGGGTGCCACAGGGACAGGACAGTGCCCCATCACCAGCCGGATCTGGCCCCGCCTCCTGGACCATGCCCACACCTGCTCTGGAGGGAGTGGCCCCGGGAGCTTCTTGGTGACCTAACCTGGAAGTCACCTGGATCTCTACTGCCGCCCAGCTCTAGGTGTCAGCAGGAGACAGCACTGTGGCCCGGCACAGCCAGCTATGTCCTCACAGAGCCGCCCGCTGTCCTGTGGGGTGGCCCTACCTTTGCTCCTACGCCTTCACCAAGCTGCGGCCCCTGTGCTGGGGCCTCCCATGCACACCACCGCCCGGGCTCGGCAGGGCCACTCACGTGGAGAAAAGCTGTCTCCTGGCCCTCTCTGCAGAGGGCCTTGCTCTGTCCCACTGCTGTGGGACAGAGACTGGATGTCCAGGTCTGGAGAGTTCGTCCTTGTGTCCGAGTCCCCCTTGAGGAGGAGCCAGCTGGTCTTCTGCAAAAACAAAGAAGTCATGTGAACTTTGAGGTCATCTGCCATGGGCGCATCTCACCGGACCTTCCAGGGCTTCTTTCTTACTTCTAACCAGCGAGCTGACCCACTGCAGGAAGCTACTGTGCGAGATCAGCTTTAAGTACATGGCCACCATTCAGGGTGAGTTGTCCACCTGTTCCACGGGAAAGTGGGGCTGCCCATCTTACAAACAAGAGCACTGAGGCTTGGGGTCAGCACCCCAGGGGCTCTAGCCAGCAGCTGAGGCTGCCCAAGTCCAGTCTGGGCTCCTTCCCTGAACTCCTTCTCTTCCCTAAAGACAAGTGGGCAGGGAGGGGCCCAGCCCTGGGCCAAGTCCTGCCCGCAGTCACTCTTGTGATTAAAGTGTGCGACCTCCCAGGAGGAAGACGTCCACCCACTGGCCCTGAGTGGAAGATGCCAAAAACCCACTCTAGAACCATCATCCCGTGGTCCCAGATGCACTGACAGCGTCCTCAGCTACAGCAGGTGACTGAAGACCCAGCCGGGCCACCTCAGTGCGAGGGGGGCTGGCGCACATGCCTCCCACCTCTGTCCTTTGGGGACTCTAAGGAACAGGGCAAGAGGAGGAGCCTGGGGTTCAGCTGGAGGGGCCACCACGGGGCTTCCGGGGAGGTCCGGTCCTCGTTACCTTCCTGTTATCCTGGTCGAAGCTCCCGTCCTCCCCGTCCACTCGCCGCGCGGCTGGAAGGGAAAGTGAACCGGTGACGGCCGCCGCCATTGGCCTCCCGCCTCAGTCATGCTCAAACCCAAGACGGCCGAGGAGGGTCAAGAGCAGGGTGCCCTGGAGGACGGGGCCGGGCAGGCTGGAGCAGCTCCGGGGAGGGCTGCCCGCGAGGGGGCAGGGGCCTCGGAAGCGTTGTCATTCCCCTTCCCCACGCGGAGCAAGGGACGGCACTGCCAGAGGCGCCGCTTGGCCTTTGAAGAACACCTTCTACCTCTCAGGGGACACCAGAGGAGCGGGCCTCAGTCAGGGACCCTCGGTGTCACCTCCAGCTAGATGCCTCACCTCTCACGGCCTGTCCCTGCCAACCCTGAAGGAAGGGGCGTCGCCACTTCACAGACAGGGAGACAAGCCTCAGGGAGACGCCACGGCCCAGCGCAGGGACTAGCGGGGCGGAGGCTGACCGGAGCCCAGGGAGCCAGGGTCCAAGCCTGCCCCTGCCTGCCTGGCTCCCTCCTGCTGCCCGCAGCCACGACAGCGAGTAAGCAGCGCCCCGGAGGGCGCCATGGAGAGCGTACAGGAGGAGAACCCAGGGGAGGGCTGGGGCTCAGCGGCAGAGCGCTCCCTACCCGGGCGAGGCCTGGGGTCGAGCCTCAGCACCATAGAGACAATGAAATAAAGGGTTGTGTCCAATAAAAATAAACAAATAAATATTAAAAAAAAAAAAAAGAAAAGAGAATCCAGCCAGAAACAAGCTCAATGTCACAGAGCAAGCAGGAGCTCACTGTGCCACAATCTGTCCACAAGAATACTGTCCACAGCAGTTGGGGGAGTTGTCCCGCAGCAGGCTGACGTTTCCAACCAGGTTGAGCTGAGAGACCACACAAGGGCATGCTGACACCTCCCGGCATCCAGGCCGCATCCAGAGACCTTCCGGAACCCCAGACTAACACACCACCCCATGCACAGAGAAATGAAATGGAAACCCGGCTCCTTCCCAGCCGGCCTCGGCGCTGGGCCGGGCCTGAGCAAGGCCGCGCGGAGCTGGGCGCTTACCTGCAGCCTGCGGCGGGCTGGGACCTGTCAGCCTTTTGGAGCAGCCTGCCTCCTGCACCACCAAGGACAAGACTGACACCAGGCCAGAGAGCTTGGAAATTGGGGACTGGGCTACAGGACCTTGACAAGACAAGGCCGAGAGTGAAGTCTGAGCACGTCCACTTCTGGACGCACAGACACCCTTGCTCTCCATGGCAACCTTTCTCCCTCCACGGAGACAGCCACTTTCAAAGCGAAAATAAAGCCCCTGTCCTCTCCGCTCCCGCTCCCAGAGGCGAGCAGCAGGGCCTTCGAGGAGGTTGTGATGGAGAGACAGCGGGCAGGGAGCCCAAGCCTGACAGTGTGGCGCTACTGTTGCCTTGACAACAGCCACACTGGGCAGCGGTGCCCTTGAGTGTGGCAGACATCAGCCCACACTTGGGAGCTGCCCAGCCAGCTGCAAGGACGAGCAGGCTGGGTGTCACCGGGGTGACTGGGAGCCCTGGAAGCACACCACTGCCCACACTGGAGAGAGCCTGGCCCTGCGTGCCAGCAAAAATGCCAATCCTGTTCCTGAGAGCCAAGAGGCCACTCCACCCTTGGAATGTCTGCAAGGGCAAAAGGCAATTAAGGGGCTCTTTGAGGGCTTGGGGGCCCTGGCTGGGAGGACTTCTCAGTCCTGGACAATGGGTCAGCCAGACATGTCCTATAGAACTGCCTCTGGGCTCCAGAACAGACCCACCATTTGCAGAAAGAGATGTTCTGCCCAGACTCAGCAAATTCCCTCTGCAAATGCCACCAGCTGCCCAGGTGTGCACAGTCTACCAGGCTGGGGCCAACGCTGCTCAGAGTGAAGGTCACCAGCCCGCAAAGCATACCATGGGCTCGCTGAAGAGCTAGGAGCCTGGGCAGGAAATCATAGGAAACTGGCACTTTGCTCTATTGGTGGCTTGCTTGCTCCTTTACCAGCTCTGAACCTCAGTTTCCAGATCTGAAAAATGGGTGAATGATGCTTACACCTCCAGGCCAGGAGGAAGACACTCCCATGAACACCACCCATGGAGCGCTAGCCTGCAGGCTTAGAGACCCCAGCAGCAGGAGGGGTTGGAGACCATGCGAGGCCAATTTGTGGCACGCTGTGTGGGCTGCCAGGAAAACACAGACCTTCTCAGGACAAGCAGAGAAAGTTTAGTGTGTCTTTTGGGTACAGTTGGGGGTCCTTCTGAGCCCTAGAAGGCATTTCCACTCCCAAGTCCCTGGGGACTCTCCACTAGAGGTGCCGCAGTGAAGGGGAGCCTCTGATCCCCTTCCCGGACCCCGAGCAGGCTGGCCTTGCCACCCTGCCATACCCTTCTCCACCCCATTCGCATCTGGACATCCCTTGGGCGTGTCCACATCCCTCTGTATTCACCTATTCCTGTCTATCCACGCGTTCAGCTGCCCTTAACTTCCCACCCCCCATCTGTCCACCCACCCGCCACAGAACCTGCTGCTCATCCCCATGGCCAGCCACGTATCCACCCGACTGTCGGCTGCTACCCCTGTGTCCACTGAATCCACTCCTTTGCCCACTGACGTGTCCACTGAGCCAAGTTGTCCTTTATCCCCGTTCTGCCCTCTGCTGCCCTCTGTCTGCCCTCAGCCTTCTTCTCCCTTCTCCAAGTGCCCAGTGTCCTGAGTGCGGGACGCAGAACACCCAGACACGACCTTTGTCCTCCAGAAGCTCACAGCCAGGGTGCGAGGTGGACAGGGCATTAGAAGGTCTCAAGACGCTATAGTGAGGGCTTTGATGAGGGCAGAGTCAGCACAAAGGTGCTCCCAAAGAGCATGCATGTATGAGCACTTACTGAATACCTACTCCTGGGTCAGGCCCTGTACCCTGGTCTGGTTAGACGTGTGTTAACAGGTAATAGCGCATGTGCGGCCCTCACCCAGGCGCGGGGGCCGAGGTGCAGAGTGAGGTGCAGAGCTGGTCACCCGAGCTCACACGTGTGTTCTCCCCGGCAGATACATGAATCATGGGACTCAGGGCCATGTCACCCCAGCTTTGCTTGTCATGACTTGTATACAAATCCTCCTCCCCCAGGTGGCTCCTGGGAGAGGCCTGGTGGCCCCTTGGGGGCTTCATGAGGTGACATGTGCACAGGGCTTACAGAGGAAGCCAGGAGGTGGGTGCAGCACAGGGGCCACTGCTTCCAGGGGACCGTCCGTGGTGCAGGGCCTGTTCCAGAGTAGGTATTCAGTAAGTGCTCACACATGCATGCCTCTTGGCTGCCAGCATTGGCAGCTCCGACCTCCAAGGCTCTTTTGCTAGAGGGAAAGTGGGGCTGGGGGCCAGTCTGGCCCCTGTTCTAGGGGCCTTGAGCTCTGGCCGTGCTCTGCCTGCAAATCACCACTCCAGCACCTGCCAGGGCTGAGGCAGGACGGGCTTGGGGGTGGGTCCAGGCTGGGTCCAGAGGTACTCGCCCCCACAGGGGAAGGAGCTGACAGGACGATCCATCTTGCCCTCTCCCCTGGCCTGGGGCTATAGGGGGTGGGGAATCTGCTCCTCCCTTTAGCTCCTGGGCTCTAGGAATAGACCCACCACTCATCTGATTCCCCCGTGAGGTTTCCAGCTCTGCGACTCAAATGGAATTGGGATGAGAGAGAGAGAGAGAGAGAGAGAGAGAGAGAGAGAGAGAGAATGCACATAGGTGGCCCAGTCCATTAGAATCCCAGTTCCATGAGGGCAGATGCCACAGAGGGTCACCCATGTGTCCCCAGGGCTGGGACAGAGCCTAGCACAAAATGCATGCTTGAAAAACTTCCGTGGATAAATTGGTGCAAGCCATTCAAGTCCCTCAGTCCAGCTGCCTCAACTGCAAGCCAGGAGGACAGCAGCTCACGGGCTGCCATCAGGACTGACAGTGGCACTGAGGACGAGGACAGCGGCCCTGGCGTCTCTAGCCTCCTCCCTCCCTCCACCTTTTGATGACCACTCTGTGTTACCTGCACTAGAGGAGAGCAGAGGTGCCCCCTGTGCCCCCAGGTACAGGGGGGTTCCTCCGGGCCCTGCCCTGCCTCCACCCATCAGCCTCTGGGGAACGTGGCTGCCCACTCCGCGCCCGGGGAGCCTGGGCCAGGGGCTTCCTGATGCCCACAGCAGGTTTCCATTGCTCTTCCTGAACACTGAGCATGCCTGGCCACCTGCCCTTTCCTCATATCCCAAGAAAGGACCCCAAAACCAAAGCGAGAGTCACCCCATGAGAGGATACAGAGGGACAGAGGCGGTTAATTCCTGTTTTCAACCAGGATCCAAGGAAAGAGTGAGCAGCCCTGCCACACCAGTGACCTGTGCAGGTGGGAGGTGTCCCCAAGAGCTTACGTGCGAGGCCATGCAAGAAGGTTCAGAGGAGAGACGACTGGCTTACGGGGGCCTTGGCCCCGTCAGTGGGTCAGTCTTCTGATGGGGATTACTGGGTGAGAACTGCAGGCCGGTGGGATGTGGCTGGAGGAGGGGGCATTGGGGCACGGCTTTGGGGTACCTATTTGTATCTGGCGAGTGGAGTCCCTCTCTGCTTCTTGATCATCACGTGGGCTGCTGCCCTCCACCACACTCTCCCACCATGATGTCCTGCCCACCTCCAGCCCAGAGGAGTGGAGCCTGCTGTCTATGGATGGCGACCTCTGAAACCGGGCCCCCAAATAACCTTTTCCTCCTCTAAAGTTGTCATCGTCAGGTCTTTTAGTCACAGCAGTGAAAAGGCTGACGAACCCCATGGGCCACTCCCTCTGTCCTGCTGGGTGCAGGCTGAGGACAGGCAGGAGGACGAGCGTCCTGGTGGCCCAGCAGCTGCGGGAGGGAGCAGCCCCTGCCTCGCAGGCCGCAGCCGCTCACCCCGTCCGTCCGTCCGTCCGTCTGTGCTCACGCGAACTTGGAAGTCGAACAGCAAGTCTGGTGAACTATCAGGGCCTGCGCCGGGGGAGAGCTTCCCGGGGAGTTTCAGGGGAAGCTCAAACAATCTAAAATGGCCACAGTGTCCCTCCAGTTCTACCACTGAAACTCCCTACTATGTGCCAAGCACCAGGGTCACCTTCTGGAAACCCCCTCAAAGCCCACACAGGATGTGGTCCGAACCCCCAGAGGAGGAGCCGGACCTGGGGGATGGCACATCTGCTCCCAGTGGTGTGGTGGAGCCGAGGGCCACGGCCCATCCAAGTCTGTCCCCTAAAGCAACCGGGCTCAGTGCTGTGAATGACCCCCACTGGCGCACGACAACGCATAGAAAGCCACAGGGCACCTGAGCCTTGGAACTTCCAGGAGCATCAGGCCCGGCACCTGCTGCTTAATGCAGCTTCCTGCTGGGGGCGCCAGAGGACCTGCCTGGCATCCACCCCTGGGCCAGGGAGGCTCCAAAGTTCCTTTTGCCTCTCCAACTACCTACTTAACCTCCCCCCTTCCCTCCCTCCCTCCCTCCCTCATTTAAATAGTAAATGATAACCAAGAAGGGTTGGAGCTAATGTAGAAAAGTTGTCAGGCCGTAAAGGCCTGTAGCAGGTCCTAGCACGGGGGCCAGGCAGAGCGGGGATGTAAAGCCAGGAGCCGTGACCGGTCACTTCCCCACCTGTACTGACCCTGTCACAGGAGGCGAGCAGCTGCCAGGTCCCACCCTCACTTCACACCCGCTGCGCAGGCAGACACTGATCGGCCCTGTTCTCACCACCTAGGGCCAGCCCAGGCCCAGAGGCCTGGCCACCCTGGAGGCCTGTTTCCCAGAAGTAGGAATGGGCCTCGGGCAGCAGAAGAGAGTAAAAAAGGACTTCAGTTTCACTGCGCGGCCACCCATAGGCACCTGTGACCCCTGCCACCCTGAATGATTATAATGCACGATTTAAAAAGTAAGAAAGACTTTCAGAGTTTGGTACAGTTAGAAAGTAAACGCATCAGTGAAAATGCTGGGTTTTTAAAACTTGTTGAACACATCCACGGAAGCCAACTCAACGGCCCGGCAGTTCCCCACTTGCTGCTGCGGCTCAAGCCTGAATGCCCTTCCCCTCTCCCCTCTGCAGCCTGCAGGAGGTTACCCAGAGGAAGCAGGAAGCTGCGTGGGCCTCTCACACACATGTGCACATGCTCATGCACACACCCCTGTGCTCACACAAGCATCTGAGTGTGGGCATGGGCACACACACGCAGAGTTACTTCCAATGGGGTGACCCTGCCTGGGTGGGAAGTCATGTAAACAGCCCTGTCAGAGGCACTGCTGGGATCTGCAAGGCCCAGCATGTCATGACCTAGGGTCACCTCTGGAAACCGGTCCGAGAGTCTCTACAGGTGCCTGACCAGGAGGACAGGTGGCTGCTTGTGTAGAGCTGGGGACAGACTTGGCTCACATTCAGCTCTGGACCTCGGCCAAATGCTCAGTGGCGAGCAGGGGCTTCACGCCGTCTGCTTTCCCACAGAACCACGGAACGGGAACGGCATTCTAGAATGATGGAAGGGCTGGGTGATGCTCAGGGTTGTCAGGTAGGAATCCCCTGCCTGTGGAGAGGAGAGTCCTTTACATTCAGAGTTAAAGGACGCAGAGGTGGCCCCGGGACAGCAATTGGACCCACTGGAGGGTTCAGTGAAAGGACCCAACAGTGGACTTGGCTCTCCAGACGCTGGCGAGTGGTCAGGCCAGCAGGTTTCCCATCTCTGCCCCTTCTCAGGACCAGCCCCTCCTGATGGCTGTGTTACCACACCCTGAGGTGCCACCTGAGGCAGAGCAGGGGTGACAGCAAGCCCTGCCAGCCTCAGTCTCAGGTTCCCAGGAGCACCGACCTTCCTCGCAGGCTCTCTAGCCTGGCACTGGGACGGTCACTTTCTGGGATGCTCCTTTCTCTGGCTGGGCCTCAGTTTCCCCTGAAGCAGGAGGGAGCTGGTCTGGGCACTCTGCAAGGGCCCCAGCATCTAGCCTGTCCCCTCTGGTCCCTCTCGGAGCCTGACGCTCTCAGCTCCGCTGGTGGGACTCAGCGCACTCAGGAAACTCTGACAGCTCGTTCGTTGCTTTTCCTTTTTGGGAATAGGAAGGTGGCACAAGGCGCAGGGTCTTCTTCCACCCCAGAAAGAAGGCACAAACGACGCCTCCCTGCTCACACAACTAGACCACTGACCCTCCAGCCAGCCACAGAGAGCACGCAGGACCCCCAAGGCCTCCACCCGATTATCCACCGGAGGTGGCAGTATTCCTTGGGTGCATCTAGACAGGAACTTCCAACACGGGATGGAATCCCTCTTCCCATCTCTGGAGGATTGGTGACAATCCCGTGTGCCCTGCATGCTACAGTGGAGAGTGTGTCTCCAGTCGTGGTTCCTGAGGTCCTCCCAGCCAGCCTGGGCAGAGGGCAGGGAAGGGGCAGTCTTGCTTTGCACATGGGGAAACAGAGGCTCAGGGTCAGAAAGCAACATGCCCCCCAAACCCAGAAATTCCAGTTCTGGTTCCTGCTCCATGAACCTGGTAATCTGCCCTGTGCACATCTGTCCCAGGTAGGCTGTGGGAAGGGGCATCAGAGGGCCAAGAGATGCCCTCACAACAAAACTTCCCAAGCCGTGTTTGCTAAGGCAAGGACCCCTTTTACCTGGGAGCAGGGCAGTTCACTCTATTGTCAGATAGTCTCAAACAACAAGACCAAATTTCTCCACAGGAATACGTGTCTGATTCCAGATTGTACGGTTTCTCAAGGATCAGGCTGGGTCACATCACAGATCGGGATGCCTCTGTTCCTGGCCAGGTGGGCCGGGATCACTCTGGCTACTTCCCTCACAGAAGCATGATCAAAGCCACCAAACCCCACCCGGGCCCGTCTGCGTGCAGTACCTGGGGTTCATTCACAGGGTCCTCACTCAGAAGGACCCCACTGTCACGTAGGAAGAAAGGCCTCTGGGGCCTCCTAGGGAATTTGCCCTTAAAATTCAGACAGCCAGGGGCCTCCAAGCCGTCCCCACAGTGACCAGGGCTCAGCAAAGGGTGCATTCAGAAGCAAGGGGTGCCAGGCATGCAGGGCAGGGCCCACGAGCAGACTCCACCGTACCATGCTGCTTGTAGATAGGGGGTTTCCTATAGATGTTATCTTTTACGCCAGTGTCTGGGAGAGGAGACAAAAGGAGAGAACAGGAGGGTGAGCGGCCGTCGCCAGGGTGTCCGCCCGCTGCTTTCTGTCGGCCACTCTCATCACCCCGCTTTAGAACTGCCAGCAGGTCCAGCACCCCACACCCCAAAACAAGCACCCCCACTGCGGATGCCACCCCAATCTGAGGGGCCAGGGAAAGAGGTGGCTAGGAATGGGCAGCCAGCAAGAGCCCGGGCCTGGTGCAGCTCAGAAAGACCCTTTTCTCCAGCCTGTTCCCAGAAAGCTGCAGGCGGCCCCCCGAGTCTGTGGCACTTGGGGAGAAGCTCACATGAAGGGCAGTTTGGGGATGTGCCAAGACCCTGGTGATTTTTAGGGAAGCTTGGAGTTTGGAGCCCGGGTGAGGTGTGGCGGTCCGTGCGGCACCTGCCCTGGCCGCCAGGTGTGAGCGGACGTGCACGCGGAGCCGGCGGCGAGCCGGGCCTACCTGGGACGTGGAAGTGGCGCGGGGCCTGCTGGTAGGTGGAGGAAGGAGGCCTGCTGTCCGAGAGCACCGAGAGGCTGGGGGTGCTGCGGCCACTTTCACTGCCTCCAGACGGGAGCACAGGGACAGCAGATGGGGACGGAAAAGCAGAGCATCTCAAGCAAAATGGCTAGTGCAGCAAGCCCCGTCTTCCCTGCAGCGGACACCCCACACCCTCTGCCCAGAGGAGGACTGTGGTCCTGGGGACTTTCCAGACTAGGCCCAGTGACTTGTTAATCCAACCTGCGTTGAACCCTGCCAGTGGTCCCTGAGAGGCACAGTGACCTGAGGGCTGAGAGCGTGTCGGTGCATGGCAGATTCTGGGGTTCACACCCAGCTGCTCCGTGCACCCGGCAGCCTGCAACTCACCAGCCCCAAGGCCTGCCTTCCTCATCATCCTGTACACACAGGGCTGCATCTCCAGGAGCCTACAAATCAGCTGCATGGATCAGACTAAGGCACTGGAATGAGCCCGGGAGTCCTCAAAGTCACTGAGTGCAATTTTGCAAGATACAGAAAAAGAGAAGACCAGAATCAATCAATTTCCATTACCTTCTGAGCCTGCTCCGGTTCCTTACCTCATCTAGAATCAGAATTTCTGCCTTGGGAAGGAGGTTGGATTATCAAGTCACCAAGCAAGACAGCAGAGTTCCCTGGGAGAACGCCCCATGCCCCACAGCTGTGTCAGAAATGGGGTGACAGATGAGTGGGCGGGCACTGGACACTTGGCGAGGAGGACTGTGGCTCATAGCAAGACACCTCACTAACCTTGGGGACCCGCAGGACATTAGATGATAAGCTTGACAGGGGAAAGGGACAGTCTGGACTTGAGACCCTCTCCACTGTGTGCTGGTCCAAGTGACCCTGCAGTGAAACGGTACCCAGAGAAGTGGGGCTAAGCCGGCCTGACTGGGGACCTGCCGGGGACTGTAGCAGCTGGACAGATGCTGGCTCTGGAGGAGCTGGGCCTGGAAGCGGGTCGGGTGCAGCGGCGGGGCACGCAGGGGCAGAGGGCTCAGCTCGGGCTGACCCCCACCGTGGCCCACACCAGGCTGAGGCCACAAAGGGGCAGGCAACTCCAATCTGGAGCACTTTGTCCCACCTGGGTGTGACGCTGACTTCACCTGCTGACACTGACGGGACTTCAGATGCCTGCTTTGCTGTAACTACCTCCCTTCCAACAGCACAGACCCCCTGGGCTTCCCCAAGTCTGCGGGCTCCGGCCACTCCAGGTGGCCGCAGGGCCTTCACACCATGGGGGTGGGACCAATGAGCAACAAGAGGAAACCCCGGACCTCTTCTCCCCACGGTGACTGACTAGATCCCCCCAAGGGCAGCCACACAGGACAGAAGCACGGCCTTTAAAAAACGCATCCGTGCCAACTGCAGGGGGCTGGGACATTCGCGTCAGGCGCCATCGCTAGGCTGAGCTGGCCCTTGTCTAGAATGCTCCTTCTCCACCACTTAGGATCTAACATGTCAAAGGCTCCCTGTCCCTCCCCGGGGCTCAGCCTATTATGCAGGGGCCCTGGAAACTGTACACCAGACTGGGGCGCCCGTGTGCCCGTGTGCCTGTGCACCTCAGGACAGATATACCCAGGGCCCCAAGACCATGGGGAAGCTGAGGCACAGCTGTGGTGGCCCCAGTGACCCACCAGGCCTGCTGCACACCTGCCCTCAGGGGCCTCTAGCATCGGTCACTGAATTTGTCCACCTAGGGTTGTGTCTGAGACGCCACCACCAAGTCCTCCAGGCCTCCCCAGCCCTGGCCTCTGCACGGCTCCTCCTGGTGCACTTGCTGAGTGCAGCTCCAGCCTTCAGGAGGGTGGCCCAGGGCGCAGGGCCCCTTCTCTGCACAGGCGCCACTTGTCCCCAGGTGGTTTCCTCTCTCAAATGCACCACTGCCATGGGCCCTGTGGTGCCACCAGGAGCGCTCTGCTGCGTTTTCCCTCAGCATGCCTGCCCCAGCCTGGGTCTAGCCATCGCTCAGTGGCCAGCTCCTCCTTGAGCTTTACTGGTAAAGTCCCCAGGCAGGGGCTCAGGGCTCCTCTTGCAGGGGGTCACGTCCTGGGGAACTTCTGTCCTGGGTGAGCCTATTCGTGGGTGGGCAGCCCCTGGCCATGGGCCCCTTCCTCTTCTTCCAGTTTAAACTCATGCTTGATTTGAGGACAGTTTCAGGTAGTCACACCTTCCCAGGCACGTGCTCTGGCTGGTGCCCCCTGACCTTGGCTCACGGCATCATCTAAATGCCACGCCATGTGGATTTTGCCTGGTGTCCTCTCTCCGTCCCAGGAGGACACATTACATTAGCTGGCACGTCTCCCATGCTCCTCTGGCCGGGCCAGTCTTGCGGATTCCCTGCTGGTGATGACTGGTCCTGGGAAGCGCTGGCAGGCCTTTCTGGAAAGTTCCTCAGCTGGATCTTTTTGCTCCTTTCCCAGGACACACGGGGCTCGTGTCGGGGAGGCAGACCACGGGGGGGGGGGGGGGGGGGGGGCGGGCTGCCCTTCCTCGGGCAGCCAGGCAAATGCTGTCAACAGGGTCTCCTGTCCAGGACACGGCCTGGCTGGCGGGCGCCACAAGGTTCCTCCACGGCAGAGCTGCTCTCTTTGTCCCCCCTCCTAAACTGCCTCTCTGGAGAGAAGACCCAGGTGAAGGCCCTGGCCACACCAGGTGGAGAGGTGCCAGCTCCTGAGAGCTGCTCGGCACCCTCCGAACGGCGGATCTGTCTTCTCCCTGTTGATTTGTCCTCAGTCCTTTCTTGTCTCAGTGGGGACTCGTGGACATTCATGGCGTGTGGGGTTTACAGTGTGACAGCTTCGTTCCGTTGCTCCAGCTGTGCCAACTTGGGGCTCTCTGGCCTGCTCTTGTCCAACTTTCTCAAGGTGGTACCAAAGCAAGTCCAGCTCATGGCCAAGTTCAAGTGCTGTCAGGACCAAGCCCCTCCCACCTCAGTCACGGACCACCCCCCCAGAGGGCCCCACTTCAGAGCAGAGGGAGGGGACAGTGGGCGAGGTGAAGAGCTACCTAGGGCACAGTGAGTGGGGGCAGCAGCCTTGGGCTGACTCCACATCCGAGCCACCTCCTCCCTTCCTTCTCACACCACATGGTTAGGAGAAGGCTCACTAGTCAGCAAGTGGCTGTCCCGACACTGGGCCTTGGCAGCACGGAGTCCCCTGGGCACCCCACACCTGTCCTGCTGCTTGGCTCTTAACAGGTAAAGAGGTCAAGTTTGAACCCACCTACCCCAGGGACACACCGGGACTGAACTTCTCGCTTCAGTGCCAATGCTGCCCCAGCTCCTCTGCTGAATGTGGGTCTTGGTGGGAGGGGGTCCCTGGGCACTGAGCCTCAGCGGGAAGGTGTGGCTGGGCTGGGTGGGAAGAGGAGAGGCACACGCAGGGCCCCTGCCAGCAGCCACCAGGCTGGGAAAGCACCAGCAAGCTGGGGTGGGGGTGCCGCTGCCTGGGAGCCCTCCACCCATGGTGTCGCCCAGCAGGAAAGCTCTGCTGAGCAGAGGCCAAGGTGCCCCAGGAGAGAACCTCGCGGGGCCCTCCTAGGGAAGGGCAGACGCCGGGCCTGTGTCTGAGTGAGAGGTGGACAACTGAGTGCCCGGAGGCTGGGATACGCTGCAGCCCATGAGCTGGGAGATGACAGGCTCCCTCTAGTGTGGCCTTGGAGTGGACCTGGGGTGGACATGACTTGTGAGTACGTGTTGGGTTGAAGCCTAAATTTGGGCTCTGCTTTGGGATCTCGAACCAGGAAGTCCCCTGAGCCTTGGCCTCCTCCAGAGCAGGTTCTGCAAAGACCTGGGGCCCCCAAGGTCACAGATGGCCATGGAGTCAGGCACAGGGTGAAACTGTGGGCATCAGGCTCCCTGCATCTGACACCAGAGAGGGGGGCAGGAGCTTCCTCTGGTTTCTGAGCAAAGGGTGTGGCAGCTAAAGTGGCCAGGAAGCAACAGGGCGGAGACTGCACTCCAGTAACAAAGCGCCACTCAGAGCACCCCCAGGGTTGGGGCCTCCGAGCCCCGGGGAGTCCGAGCACCCCAGGCTCTGAACCACGTTTCAGTGGGCAGGTGGGTGGGGCCTGAACCCAGTCTCTTCTTTGCAGGGGTGGAGGAGGGCTGGCTGCCTTCCACCCTGCCTCCTTCCCTCGCCCCCTCCCCTGGGCTGCGAATGGGGTGCTGCCCGCTGGCCGGACTGGAGCAGGAGCACTGCAGCCCGAAGGCCTGCCCTGACTGGGGTCATCGCAGAGCGATAGGAGTCCAGGGTGGAGACGCAGATGTGGGTGGAGGAGGCTCACCAGGGTTAGCTCTGGCTCTAGGCCCTCCAGGGAGCTGCTTCTGGTGGCTGCCTGGGGGTCAGGGGAGAGTGGCAGGGACAGTGAATGTCCACTGCCTGCCCTCGCTCTGGCACACCCTGCGGGGGACCTCACGGGTGCATGGCTCCACCCACAGCAAGGCCCTGGCAGATGAGAGGACAGCTCAAGATCCAGGGCCTCGTGGTGCACGAGAGGCCCGAGAAGCGGCCTGGAGGCGGGCTGTGAGCCCCGGCTGCTCAGCTCCCTCGGACAGGACAGCGAGCACACATGCGGCAGGGCCTCTGGGGCTGGCCCCTGCTGCGGAGCCTGCTTCGGGCTTTGAGTCTCCTCCCAGCTGTCAATACTGCCCAGGAGCTGCAGGGGTGGCCCACCAGGGGGGAGGGAGGTGTGACCACCAGGCTCCTCTACTGGACCAGCTGGTGAACCCTGGGATGAAGCACGGGAGGGCCATGGCCCAGCCCCTGACTGTCACAGGATCCAGCTGCCTCTGGAGGAGTCCCCCAGAGATGTCCGACTCCACAGCCGTGAGGGATAGGGCACTTGGTGGGTCACGCGGGGAACCAGCCAGGTCTCTATCGTGGGTCCTCCACTGGCCCGAGTGTCTTTCCGTGGCGTCTGTCAGCTGGCTCTGTAACAGGACAGCTCAGGCTGGGCCTGCGACGGCAGGTGCACATTTTCTCGTAGTTGTGGAGGCTGGAGGTCACGGTGCAGGTGGGCAGGGTGTGTCCTCTGAGGCCCTCTTCCTGGCTTGTCCATGGCTGCGTCTGGCTCATGTGGCTCACGGGGCCCCCTCTGAATGTGCAGAGACAAGTGCAGGGCCATGTCCTCTCCTTACAGCCTCCAGCCTGGTGGCTCAGCACCCCTCCTGGGGACCTCATCTAACTGACCTGATGCACCTCATCAAAAGCCCTCTCTCCAGTCACATGGGGGGTGTTAGGACTTTAACATGTGAATTTGGGGGACACAGTTAAGCCCTCAGCGTAGAGGCGAGCAGGAGGTTGGCCATGTCTGTTTTTTTGTGTGTGTGTGCTCATGTCCCTGCAGGGACATGGGGTGTGTGGGTCTGCACCCTGGGAAGAGCCAGGGTTGGGGCTGCGTGGTGCACCTCCTGGCTGGGAGGCCAAGGCCACCCTGCTCTACAGCTGAGCTTCTGCTCCTAAACCAACACTCGCGAACCTGGGCCCGTGGGCTGCTGTGGGAGGTGAGAGGATCTGACCTAAGCACAGAGTGGCCCCGGCCCTCCACCTGTGCCTTCGCCTCACCAGCTACCAGCCTTTCCCTGCCAGGAACACGTGCACACCAACAGAAACGGAGCCGGACACAGGACACACACAGCGAGGGACATGGGGCAGGAGACACAGGGCTCCGGGAAGCCATGCGGCCGACACAGGACGAGCACCCACAGCACTGCGCGCCTTACCTCGGAAGTAGGGGACGTAATGATGTCTGAACACGGAGGTGGGGCTGGGGTGTTGGGACAGGGAGAGGCAGCTACTGGTACCCACACTCGCAGTACCAGCTGCGGGTGACAGAGAGCAAGGCGTCAGCCCTGGCTGTCCAGCCATGAACCGTCCTAGTCCCCAAGGGCCTAGGAACAGTTGTGCCTCCCCTCTCCAGGAAGGCACCGGGAGACCCTCCAAGGGCTGCCCCATGAAGAACATGCAGCAGCCTAAGGCTTTGGCCCAGAGCCTCAGGCTGGGGCTCCAGGGGAGCACAGGCCCCAGAGCCACGCCTGTCACTCCACCTGGGGGTCTCCTTGGGATCAAGGACCCAGTTGGAGGGCAGCTCCAAAGGCCAGGAGTGGTCTCTCACCACATCCTCAGGCCTCACGCAGGGTCCAAGCCTTAGCCCTCTGGGCCTTAGCCTTGGGCCACCTGTCAACAAGCCCAGGCTCCCCATGATGTGGTGAGTGCTCCAGTCAGCAAAGAGATCACCCACTGACCCCCCGACTGCCCACCCACTCGTTCCCACATGCATCTGCTCCCTCCCTCACTCACCCACTCACTCATCCACGCACTTACCACCCACTTACTCACTCATCCACTCACTCACTCACTCACTCACCCACTCACTCACTCACCCACTCACTCACCCACCCACCCACTCATTCATTCATTCACTCACCCACCCACTCACTCACTCACTCACTCACCCACTCACTCACCCACTCACTCACTCACTCACTCACTCACCCACCCACTCACCCACTCACTCACTCACTCACCCACTCACTCACTCACTCACTCACCCACTCACTCACTCACCCACTCACCCACCCACTCACTCACCCACTCACTCACTCATTCACTCACCCACTCACTCACCCACCCA